AGTCTAACGAGTCACAAAGTCCAAAGTTTTAACCACCAATTTTTTTCATTTGAAGAAACGCTATCGCGAACCCGGTTTGAGACGTCTGTGTAAACATGCGCATACAGATAGGTGACCATGCGCATGCAATAACAGAAATAATGGAGAGGGTGTGTATGTCATGTATTTCTCGTTTTTATTTCTCCATCTCGTTTACCGACAGATGCGTTAGCACTTGTTATAACAAGTGACAAGGGCTATGCGAATGATTTCAGGAGGTGAGTCTGCAGGCTCGCTTGGGAAACTACAACCGGGCGGCGAACACGTGTCGTTGATAGGGACGGAGCGTTCTGACGGGAATGCGCCCAAACAGGCTGTAACTAGTGTAACTTAGTTGTAGATATACCAATCTACCGGTAGTGCGGTACCCTGCATTCAAGACTGTATATAACGGTTAGGATTGTACTCTTGCTGTATTTGTACAGTGACTACCAGGGAGTCGTAAAATACCGGTATTTTACGACTCCCTGGTGACTACTGACCAGGCCCAGGTGACTGGTGTGCGCACGAGCACGGGACCGCTTGTTCAACCATGTTCGATTGGGAATAAGGGCCGAACGTGGTATCGCAGCCTTCCCGGCGGACCAAAACCAGTCGACTCAGTGTCCAAAAGACTACAACATAATTATGGGCCAATCGCGGTCATCCGTGCCTTTATAGGAACGAAATGGCGCCTTTAGTGACATTTTGCATACAAATCCCCATCTAGTAGGGCGCAGTCACCCAGTTTCGGCCCGTGACGGTGGAAGTGGCGAGTTCGATTTGGAATAAAGGAGGAAGGGAGCGTCTCAGCTTCCTCGGACCAAGACAATTTTGAGTCGATTTTTGACTCAGCACCCCGGAGACTACAGCTGGTGAACATTTGATTTTAGGGTATACTTCCCCTTTAACCACCTTCTACTCCAGTACTAAGTTCTGGTGAGATCTCCAGTCTTGAATGCGAATGCATAAATCAAGTCTCCAGAAATATAGACTGGGCTTCTATGAATTCAATCAATCTGGATTGGCTCAATGCACAGAGGCATGGTGATCTCAATATCGTTAGTCAAGTTTCAGTAAAATGCTAACTCAAGCGTGCCTTAATAAATTTACTATTCTTATTACATTGATACCTTGATGGCGGGAATGAGAGGAGCCTCAAAAACTTTCCTGGTTGTCTGCCTTGGATTGAAAAGTGAAAGTTTATTTATTTTCAAAACTTACTAGCTGGAAAGAAAATAGTACAGTATGTACGTTTCAAGTGTACTTAAAAAAACTTCAATAAACGCCATTAAAAACAGCCGTGACATGACTGTCAATTCATGATCAAGGAATAGAGCATGGGCGGCAGATCACAGCAACACAGGCTCACTCGCAATGAAAACACACAGCACCCATGATGCCTAGTGAGGATTGCTCTGGTCACAAGGTCCACTCTGAGCTACCTGGAGGGAGGCCAGGCTGCTTGCAGCTACTGAATCCGACCCAGCCGAGGCACTGAGATGCCGGGGGATCGGAGAGCAGACGCTTGGCCTTCCCCTGCCATATCTGGACCAGTTTGCATCTCCTCAGCGGCGTATCATTCCAAGTACTTGGCATTCCTGGCAAAAAAAACAACACAGGCCAAACACCGGTAGAGAGAACTTCTCATTGTCATGGGACAGTGCAGAATGGGTGCCGCGAAGAGACCCGGATGAAAGACAGAGGAGCACAGCAAGACACACTGGTGTTTGTAAAATGGAACTGGGCTAACTTTTGTTCCAGCTCTAGAGTTTCCTGGCGAAGTTATAACTTATTAGGCCAATCATCAGGTCTGAAGATTCGCATAAACTTACAGTAGAACGCCGATTATCCAGCCCCAGCAAGTGATCACTTGCTGGGGCTGGATAATAAAAAATAGCTGCTTTTCGAGGTTTTTGCCGCGGCTATTTTCCCCACTGTTAGCACCATTCAAGCGAGGCACAAGATGAGTTACAAACAGGTTGGAGTCAAAAGGTATCCCGATAGTGTCATTTTTAGGAGCTGGAGTGCACCTAGTTCCTGTTGTACTGCCGAAGAGAATGAAAAATGATGAAAACATGCGGGAATATGCATGTTTTAGATAGATGTATGACTGCTCCCTTATTCGAACATTCTTCTCATCCGAACACCCCCCTGTCTAAAGATCACCTGTGTAAAGATCACCCGTGTAAAGACCACCTGTGTATGGGTCATTAATATTATACATTACAGGTGATTCTTACCACTTGGATCTTTATACACAAGTGGTCGCACCACACAGGTGTACTTTATACGCAGGTGATCTCTATACCCAAGCGGTCGCACCACACAGGTGGTCGCACCACACAGGTGGTCTCTATACACAGGTGGCCTTAGCACACGGATGATCTTTATTCAACAGGGGACCTTTAAAAACAGGTGGTCTTAGCACACAGGTGGTCTTAGCACACAGGTGGTCCTCATACACAAGTAGTCTAAACACACAGGAGGTCTTCATACACAGGTGGCATTTATACACAGGTGGTCTGTGTGCACAGGTGTGCTGAAACCATGGTAACATAAATTTCTGATACCTGAACTGATTCAGGGTCTCTAAACACAGGTGGTCTTTCATGGCAGTGACCACATTGAAACGTACACCAGTGGTCACATTGAAACGTACACCAGTGGTCACATTAAAGTGTGAATTGCATGTTTCTTCAGTACAATGTACAATGTAGTTCATGAGAGAGCGAGGGTCGCTCGGTGATGGCCACTACTTGGCGATGCCTTCTACTGCATTTCATGAAGCTACCCCCCCCCCCCCCCCCCGCACACACATGTGCACGCGCACGCACGCACACACACACACACACACACACACACACACACACACACACACACACACACACACACACACACACACACACACATGTGCACGCGCACGCACACACACACACACACACACACACACACATGCATGCACACACACACACGCACACACACACATGCACACACACACGCACACACACATGCGTGCACACACACACACACACATGCGTGCACACACACAGGCAGTTGGCGCATGGTAGACGGATCTAGAATGCACAGATAAGGATCACTAGCAGAAGGGAATTTAATCGAAAAATCAAATTTGCGAGTTTCGCATAAAACGCTAGTTTTTCTAAACCGGGAAGAGGTGAGAACCAACCTGTGAAAAATTGAACCCATAGTCGATAGAAGATACGAAAATTGGGGTGAAAACAGTCGCAGAAGTAAATGCAAGCATGTATGTGGGTCGTGTGGTTTCCGTCCAGCACTGCACTACCCGGTGAGTACATGCAGAAGTGCATGGCGATACAGGATGTGTGCATGCATGCCGTGCGCGCCTACGTGCACAAGTCACACGTGTTCACCGTCACCACTACTACGGTGTGCGAGCAGTTCACTCGATTTTATTCGTCCACACCCAGGATATCGCCGTGGGCTGGTTTCTGGGATTATTTCCCTGCTACCGCGATAAAGCGCGAGCCTAAATGTTCTAGAATACAGTTGTTTTAGACAAATCCGAGGCCGCTGAACACGAAAATAGGGTGTTCCTCGCGAGGCCGAGTACGCACCTGGTCGAAATTAGTACTTCGAAGTGCATCGGCGCGATGCGCGGAGGCATCATTTTCGGAAGCATGGCATGTGTGGAACCATTGGAAAGGTAATGACCTCAGCTACCTAAAAATAGCATCGACAAGGCCGAAAAGGCCGCGGGAGAAGATACTTGTACCTCGAAGTGCATCCCGAACTGCTGCCACGACGCGCCCATTCACTTTGTACGCGGCGAGCTGTGACTGCATTTTTCGATTTTCAGCGACCGGAACTGAACTCCCTACTAGCACTGCATCAATAGCAGGTACACGCACAACACACTGCACACACTCCGCATGCAACTCACTTGATTGTGCTGAAGAGACGGCGGCGGTTATGCTTGGCACTAGCAGCCAGCAGGTTAAACAGCTGTTGGACGGTCGTGGCCGGACGTTGCATGAGATACAACAGGATGCAGGAGAGGTTGTTCTCTCCTTTGCCCGTGCCTCTGATGTATCCTTTTTTCATCTCGTGAAACGATCTCAGGACAGTCGTGTACTGGTTCTTGTGTTCGGGATCCACCAGCTCAACAGCCGCTTTTCCGCATTTTGCTACCACAGCACCAGAGCGGAGAACAGGAAAGGACAACAGGCCTTATTTAATGCCAAAAATAATAATTGAAAAGAAAAAAAGATTGCGGAGGCCTGCTTAGCCGCTCTCCGGTCATGATCGGCAGAGGTAGAACACCAGTTCACACATCGCCTCCGGTGATGGGCGCCAAAAGGTCAGAAGGTGTGTGTGTGTGTGTGTGTGTGTGTGTGTGTGTGTGTGTGTGTGTGTGTGTGTGTGTGTGTGTGTGTTTCTGTCGTCGGCCATGCCCACTATCCCGTACATGTCCCATACTGTATCATCAAAGACATCCTCTAATAGATGATAGTGAGGTTCTGCCACACGGTAAAACGTGCCAAATTACGTATGGAAACTTCGCCGCGGTACGGGATCAAGTTTCATACGGATTTTTTCATACCGTTTTCCGTGTGAAGCGCGCTTCACACGGACTGGACTCCGTGTGAAAACTGAGCGTACAGAGTACATGTGGTGGGGTGTTTGTGCATGCTACGAGCATGCTACGTACAGCAGAACCGGTGCAACGTACGAAAAATCCGTGTCAAACTTCGCTGCAGTTGACACGGAGTTTGGTACGTAGGTCCGTGTAGCAGAACCTCTCTGATATGCCAAATAACGTGCAACTAGACTTGGGAGGGCATTGCAGAGTAGTTGCATACAAAGTTCAAAGTTGTACGGCTACCTGTGACTAGTATTCCTGCAGAGCTCAGGGTCTACCGTGTACACATTGTAGTATAATGTGTATGCAACTTGTGTGCGATGCCCTCTTAAGTCCAGTTGCATGTTATTTGGCATATCCTCTAATTAATTTGAGTTGCAGTATAGAGACGGTCATTGGAGTTGAGGAGTGAAGTTTTATACATGGTACATATTTCGGACTTCACGGAGAATTTTCAAATGCAAAGGAAATTTTGGCCACCTGCCCCATGATCATTTCCTCTGAAATACAACACTTTAAAAAAGCCAGGTGAAAGTGAAAGAAAAATAATAGTCCCGCCAGCACTCGAACGGCAATTACTACACTCCCAGAGAATAGGGATTGAAAGCGAGGACATCAGAAGTCGTCGGAAGTCAAAGTCTAACGGCAAATACCGACTCTTGGATCCCCACTGCCCATAGCGAAGTATAGCATACTATAAGACATGTATATATAACGAGAAAGTAAATCTAACGTTTTAACGGCTGACATTTCTTCGTAATAATGAGATCCGTTTAGGCCGTATGGCTTCATATATGTCGTGTGTTGATATGGCGGAATACTGCAAGATCGTTATAACATATCTTCTCGTTAACCTATGAATTTTGGACAATCGTTTAATTTGCGACTCGTTATAATAACATGTCTTACAGTATAGGGCTTGAAAGCGATGACGTCGGAAGTCAAAATCTAACGGCAAATACCGACTCTTGGATCCACACTGCCCATAGCGAAGTATAGGATGTGGTGGTTGGAACCCTCTCCCTCGTGTCGCATCCAGGTGTGATTTTCTCCTGTACCAGGAGTGGGTCCTTGACCGGGAGGGCCCAGTTCAGTCACTACCGGTGGATGTGTCAATATGCCGTGATGGAAAACCACCCAATCGTGTAAGGATTCACACCGAAAACCGGGATCCAAGTTGATCCAAAAGTCAGGGTTGTCATGGCTGTGACATAGCACTTTCATGCCCTATACGTTTGACTCCAGAACTACTTCAAACTATACAATCATGTACATGTATGTACTGATTGTCCGCCCCGTAAGCTCTGCTAAAACTCTGCCATGTCATTGCCGGAGAAAATACCATCACCACCCGGCAGTATTGAAATACGGAATGAAGAATTGCAGAGTTCAAAAAGCAACCAACCTCTCTCATCACCTTCCTCCTCTCCACCGATGAACGGTTCAATCGAGCTAACAAACGCAGACCAGTCGTCAATTAGATCGATCGTCTTTTCACTGCAGCGCAAAGTGGTATACAAAACAAAACAAAAACTAGAAACAGATCCAGATTCTACATGTAGGTAGTGCTGTGACAGTAGAGCCTCACCTGATGCCCCTCCCCCCCCTCGGTGGACAGTAAAGCCCCCCCCCCCCCCCCCTGGTGGATTGTAAAGCCCCCCCCCCCCCCTGGTGGACAGCAAAGCACCCCCCCCCCCCCCACACACACACACCCATCGATGGATAGTAGAGGCCCTCACGGTGGACAGCAGAGCCCCCCCCCCCCCCTTCAGTCGACAGGATAGCCCCCCCCCCCCCCACACACACACACACATACACATCGAAGGACAGTAGAGCCTCGAAATGCAATGTAGCATTATGTCAATATGTGATCAGAAAGACCCCCTCACTAAATGTGCAGGCAGCATGTTGTCAGTGATTCCATTAGGGCCAGGCTCCACTGTGGCTCCGCTGCACATCATCTGCGGCATGAAACGTCATCATTACCATAGTGACCGCGGCTCGAGCTGGTGCAGCGAGGCCGAGGCTCACCACCAGCTCTCGCTTCGCGGCTTGATCAAAAACTGCAAGTCGCGGTCACGGCTCGACCTGTTTCCCGTACTTTGCATTGTTTTATACGCGGGAATATTAAATTCAAACTTTAATTCGTTGCGCAGGCCAGAACACGAGGATGTTTTCGATTTCGCGCGCAGGCAGGTAAGGCCACACGTTTTTATTTCTATGTTTCTCGTCACGCGCGCGCATACGATTCAGGAGTCTGGAAGAAAAAAGAAAAAAAAACTATGCTGCACTGACTGTGCATGTGGGGATCAGCACACTCATGCACATGTACATATATGGCCTGGCCTGCGCGACACATGATGCAAGAAGGCATTTTTTGTGCGCAATCTAGCTGCACATGCACAGATTGTGATAGAAGCTCCTACCACATACTAGTTGCTAACTATGGATGCTATTTTGCATGGTGTATTGGTGGATTTTTAGTGTTAACAAAGGTCTCGTAAACTTTTTATTTTATTTTTCGGTCATTTTTATTTTTTTCCACCTCTTGCATACGTTTTTAGATTTTCAGGTGATGAGAAACATAGAAATAAAAACGTGTGGCCTAAAACGTCATCAAAAAACGTGGAACACGACCGGGTACCGCGAATGGCAAGTGTCAGTGGAACCGCGCTGCTCCGCTGCATGCCACTAAGTGCCGTGGAGCCGCGGAGCCTCAGTGGAACCCGGCCCTTACCCTGAATGCTACGTTTAATGAAAGCTGCTGATTGGTCAGCTCCAAGACAGCGTATTTGACTTCTTTCTAAACCTGCAAGGAAAGCCGGCACTAACCCAATGGCACCAAGTGACATGAAATCAGAGTCGTGAACACCGCTTCCATCAGCGCCATGACGGTCACTTCCACTGACACCGTGACCACCACTTCCACTGACGCCGTGACCACCACTTCTACTGTCCACGCTGGTCCAGGTGTCTGCTGCAAGGCAACAGCCGGCGTGCCATAGGAGTGGCCAAGAGACATGCACGCACGCAAGTACACACACACACACACACACACACACACACACACACACACACACACACACACACACACACACGCACACGCGCACACACACACACACACACGCACATGCAGATGCAGCATCAGGGACTAATTTACTTAAAAAAAATTGCATAGCAATAATTGCTACACACCCCGACGTTTGCATAGCAACGCAACAATTTTGCATAGCAGTTTTTTTCCGTCGACAATGCAGTCTTCAGTGCACTTCCACTTATGCCGTCAACGAACGCCGTGCTGTAATTCCTCAAACCACGAAGCGAGGACGCCTTCTCCCTGCACATCTTGCAAAATATCTTGGTCACAGCTCCGCCACTCGACTCTGCGCGATTCCATTCTTTTTTGGGATCAAATTCAGCAATCCACTTGTCCACAGTACCTTGCTTCACAGACATGCCGGCAGTGAAGAGGCTTCATCAATAAGGCTAGCAGAATTTTACAAAGATAAGTCCTGAACGGTCGAGATGCCTACTGCTAGTGAAGCAACGCGGTCTATATCTCAAAAGCAGGTGAAGTACTTGTCGACACTCGCCTCGTGCTTCCTGGGCTGCACTTCAAGTAAGTTAAGTAGTTAGTTAGTTTCCAAGTGCACGTGCTGCAGTGCGCGTGCGAGATAGTGTCCCGCGGCCCGCGCGTGCGTATGGTGTAAAATCTACCTAGCAGTGCAGCCTGGACAACCACACACACACAGTCTAATCTAGTCACAATGCATGGCGCGCCATCTCGTGGCGCCAAACCAGCCACACACACTGTAAAGCTACACATGTGCATGCGCTACGCATGCACTACTTAGCTAACATGTATGTTGTGTCGCAGTTTACCGCGACTCAGTACGAACTTCAAATCGCAGACACTGTGTTTTGCGTCGCAAACTGCGATGCGATACCGGTTAAATTAGTCCCTGAGCATGTACATGTACACACACGCAGGCAATCACACACGGTTTGTTGCAGAAGTTTCTAAAACGGTGGAGAGAATGTGCAATAAAAAAATCCACATTGTCTCCCCGTTTTACATTGCATGAATAAAGTATACACAAATGTCGATTCAGCTCGTCCTATTGATTGCGGTTATCAAATTACTGAAATGAATATCGTTCATTTCGTACTCGGACCCTCACTCCTCGAAAATGAACACAGCTTGCAATGCTGGACAACACAAATCACATGCATGCACACGTACATGTACATTGTTGGTCAACTTATGATTTTCACTCCCCCCCTCCACGAACGATGTTCACATCAGGACGACAAAACATTACAGCGACTCCTCAGCAACGTTCAATGACATGCTGTTTGGCCAGGGCCCGAAACAGAGTCAGAACTTCAGTGTCAGCTGGGATCAAACACCAGCTTGCGGTGAGAAAAAGATTGCACGTCCGCGCTACAACCGGCTATGCAATAGTAGTGAGAAACACAACAATGAACCAGCTTAGAGGAAGGTGAGAAGAGGCTCAAATTTGACATTGTATACACAGTAGATCTAGTCCTCTGCTCGCGCAGTGCTCAATAGTCAATACTGGAACGGGCCGAGCTACCTCAAAACTGTTTTTGCGGTCACCAGGCAAAGAAATCATTAGGAAGTACCAGATCTGTTTGTATTGTGTATCCAACTAACCAGAAGGAAGAGAGGCCGATCTCGGGTCAAACAGCATTCCGCCTGCATCCTGTATGTATTGTAAGAGACATAGTGTACACACGCACGCACACACACACACACACACACACACACACACGCACACGCACACGCGCACACACACACACACACACACACACACACACACACACACACACACACACACACATGCATGCACACACGCACACGTGCGCACACACACACACACACACACACACACACACCTTTTTGGCCTTTTGACTCCCATCGACGGAGGCAATGATAGCGATGCTACGGCAGAAGCCATAGCAACTTGTGCCATTGAATCCCTATTTTTCATTTTTCATTTTAACTCGGATACTGAGCCAGTAAGACCACACGTTTTTATTTCTATGTTTCTCGTCACCTGAAAATCTAAAAAAGTATGTGTTGTGAACCCTCTGGTTCTCTAAAGTATCAGGAACGAACGACCCCACACGGCACGAGGACAACTATTTATTCTCAACAGTATATTTCACTTCCATCGACTAACAACAATTAACAATGAATGAACAACTGAATAACTAACACTAAAACCACCAGGTAGTTATAGCGTGAAAATGACAGCGTATATGAGAAAAGCATACACATACAACATACAACTACAGCGCACACAGCAAACCGCACATAGCGCATGTAGCGTATACTACGTCGTAAACATCAACGGTACGGCGGAGTCGGGATACAACTGCATTGGAACGAACACAATGTCACACGCGAGAAGGCCTTTCACTCTCGAGAACTTGTGGTTTCACAACATTCTCCCCACCAAAGGGCTTCTCACCGCCGTACAACAACTCACAAGTCAAACGATTTGGGGCTTACTACGCGTCATCTGCTGCTGCGGTGGTGGCCATGGTAGAATATCACTAATGCCCACCAATTCAGAAAACTCGACATCGCGAAGCTTGCCGCTGTGGACTGTCGCACATGACACTGTCACCGATCCACTTCGACATGGGGCAGACGCTGGACCAGACAACACACAACCGATAATGTCATAAAGCTCGACGATGTGGGCTGTCACACACGACATGGTCACCGGTACACTGCTTCGACCCGGGGCGGGCGCGGAATCCGAGGACACACATCGGATCTCTGTGTTCCACACAGTCTCGCCGCTTATTTCTTCCGTGCTAATCAGTATCGCCCTTCTCATTTTCTCGGCTTCTACACCTTGCGCTTCTCAGTCTTGCGCCTCTAACTCTTGCGCCTCCAACTCTTGCGCCTCCAACTCTTGCGCCTCCAACTCTTGCGCCTCCAACTCTTGCGCCTCCAACTCTTGCGCCTCCAACTCTTGCGCCTCCAACTCTTGCGCCTCTACGTCTTGCGCCTCTACGTCTTGCGCCTCTACGTCTTGCGCCTCTACGTCTTGCGCCTCTACGTCTTGCGCCTCTACGTCTTGCGCCTCTATGTCTTGCGCCTCTACGTCTTGCACCTCTACGTCTTGCGCCTCTACGTCTTGCGCCTCTACGTCGTTCGGCCGAGACTCCAGCTGCTTCTGAGCGTCTCCGACCGATGTCGCCATGCTCTGTACCGACGCAGTGGGCCTTGGATCTGATCCTCCCACTGGCTTCAAGTACTCTTCTGACCGCTGCTTGTCTGTAAGCAAAGTCTTACACGCCTTGTCCGGCGTCCTTCCGGGCGAGGCAAGCCAATCTCGCTTTGCTTCCTCGTAACATGTACTGACGGCGATGCGCTCGTCCATCTTCTTGAGCTTTTCGTTGAACTCTGTGCGGAGCACACATTCTTGCCGTCTAGCACTGCGCTCTTCAAACTCCTCGCTCTGTCGGAGCCTCTTCTCCACGTATTCTCTCAACCTATCGCCTTCAAATCCATACCGAATTCCGTTAGCGATAAAGCTGGCTTCAATGATCCATAGTTCCTGTGCCATGCTCGCTTCGTATCCTGGAGTGGTCGTCAAATGTTGTGAACCCTCTGATTCTCTAAAGTATCAGGAACGAACGACCCCACACGGCACGAGGACCACTATTTATTCTCAACAGTATATTTCACTTCCATCGACTAACAACAATTAACAATGAATGAACAACTGAATAACTAACACTAAAACCACCAGGTAGTTATAGCGTGAAAATGACAGCGTATATGAGAAAAGCATACACATACAACATACAACTACAGCGCACACAGCAAACCGCACATAGCGCATGTAGCGTATACTACGTCGTAAACATCAACGGTACGGCGGAGTCGGGATACAACTGCATTGAAACGAACACAATGTCACAAGCGAGAAGGCCTTTCACTCTCGAGAACTTGTGGTTTCACAACAGTATGCGAGAGGTGGAAAAAATAAAAAAATGACCGAAAAATAAAAAAAGTTTACTAAACCTTTGTTCACACTAAAATCCACCAATACACCATGCAAAATAGCATCCATAGTTAGCAACTAGTATGTGGTAGGAGCTTCTGTCACAATCTGAGCATGTGCAGCTAGATTGCGCACAAAAAAAATGCCTTCTTGCATCATGTGTCGCGCACGCGCAGGCCAGGCCACATTATGTACATGTGCATGAGTGTGCTGGACCCCACATGCACAGTCAGTGCAGCACAGTATTTTTTCTTTTTTTCTTCCAGACTCCTGAATCGTATGCGCGCGGGTGACGAGAAACATAGAAATAAAAACGTGTGGCCTAATAAATGTACTTCGAAGTAAAAAAAGAGTAGAAAACACATGAGAACGAGTTATCGCACTTTCTGACTGTTTATTAAATAGGGCACAAAACTGACAAGCTACTGAGACATTCAGCGACCCGAGACCTAACTCTAACACACCAGTTATGTGCCCTTTTATCACACTTTCTGACTGTTTATCATCTTGTTACAGTCGTGGGTAGTTGCTGCATAGCTCGTTCTCATGTGTTTTCTTCTCTTTTTTACATTTACATTCTTCCTTCATTTTTTACACATACACCGCACCACATACACTAGCTGTTGGTAACCACCCAGGGGAATGAAAGAAGAGCTAGGAGAATGAGAAAGAGAGGAAAGACTTATGTGGCCATAATTGTCGGGAATTGAACCCGCAACCTCTCGATTGGAAATCGACTGCACACACACACACACACACACACACACACACACACACACACACACACACGCACACACACACGCACACACACACACACACACACACACACACACACACACACACACACACACACACACCGGCACACACACACAATCACACACACGCACACACACACACAACATAATCGCCGGAGTCAGAGTACAGTATGATCGGGCGCCGAAGAACGCAGGGGCTTAGGACCACAGCCTAACTTAGTATTGTTCTAACATGTTGCAATGTTAGTCGTTTGGTTATTATTTATGAATAGCATCATGCAATGGCGAGCATCATACGATGTGACCACACCACTGGATAACATGTAGAAAACGATACATGCGTTCTTAAATCCGTAAATCTAGCCTGAATCGTTCTTTCAAAAATCTGCGCCATTCTCTACCCTAAGTGTTTTTCGTCTCCCGATCCGCTTACTGTAGGCTTAATATGGCTACTGGTATCTCCTCATCCATACGATGGGAACAAGCGGCACGTCGTAAGAAATTAGAGACAGGGTGCAACTGTGTGTGTGAAGAACTCTCTTCCTAAACCGAGCTTAACAGAATTACGGTACAACCAGGCCTGGCCACACTACTCATAATGGTTTGTTTACCCCCCCCCCCCCCCTCCCTTCCCCCTCCCCCCCCCCCCCCACACACACATACACAAACATACGGAATATAGCGCTGTGGACCCTGGCTGGCGGCAGGCGCTACTAACTTAACGTCTTTAGCATAGCTGCGACAGTTCAATCAGGTCAAGCCTCTCTCACCTGATCAAGGCCCAGCCAGAACTTGGCCTGCTCACGGATCATCTGTGTATCCGGCTTTGAACGTGTACACAGTGGATAGTCTTCCGCCACTAGGGTGGATGCATCCAAGGCGTGCGCACAGCTTGGCGTGCAGCACGTAGACAGGCCGTGCTGCAAACACTCCACCCCCGATGTTTCTCCACAGGGGCACGGCAGGGAGCTGATCACTTCGGCCTGCAGATTCCACTTCCGTAGCACGGTGAGCACGATTGCCTTGACTTCCTCCAGCGTAGACTTTCCACTGCCGCCGTCTCGGCCCTTGCACTCGACGTACACTTGTAAGCCGTAGCGTGTATAGTGCAGGTTCAGCCACGGCCACTCGCTGTTCCAGCGAAGGCGAACGCTGCACCGTGACAGCGTGGCAGCCGAGCGCTTGCGCGACTTCAGCAGCGCCTCCACCACACATTGCCAGTAAAGGAATACGGGGAAGCGCATGCATTCATCGCGGCTTACGTGCTTCAAGGACACATACGCACAGGAACAGGAGGGCGTCTGTGGGTGCATGTCCATGTCCTCGACGACTGCAGGTACAATAAACTCGTGCTCGGCAGAGCTCTCATCCTGCACAATTGCCAGCACTGAGAGCCACTCCAGGATTTCGAAAATGAGCTTGAACCCATCACTGCTTGCTCTGACTGCTTGCCAAGCCTTAGCATGGTCGAAGTAAGACGGATCCGCGAACATCTTGTTGAGAGCTTTGCGTGCCAGGGACTCCGTCATGAACCCAGAATGATAGCGCCGCATTTCGTCCGCTGTGATGTGTCGGTCAGGTTTCAGGTAGACAAAGGCATTGACACAGTCCAGAATGAACTGTGGGTCGAGGATGACCGTGTCTTTCAGCTTGAAAGTTGGGAAGTACACCAGGTGGCCTGCTTCGTGGCAGTACTTAAGCAGCTGCTGTATTTGCCAGTCACTGTAGTCACTTGGAACGGCCTTGACTTGCTTTGCTATGAATTTTGCCTCCTCGAAGGAAATCCAAGGCCGCATGACCTCCTGCTTGAGTGAATGTATGGATATGCAGAATCGGAGCCACGGAACAGGGATGCTACGTTGGCTCTTCTGGCAGCGGTCGATGATGGCCTGCCTCAGTCGCTGTA